GGTAAAGTCTCTATGCTAACATAGCTCATCAAGATGTATCTTTTATGAATTACAATGAAACTCCCTTTTAAAGGTAATTCTACACTATATTTGTCTGTTTTTTCCCCTTCTGATGCAAACTACACTCAGTTTTGGCTGTTCAAAAAAAACAAAACTACACTCAGTTTTGTAACGCAAAATATTTGAGTAGGAATAGGATTCACCCCATAGCCTGTTCGCTATCTGTATGGGTTTTGCATTGCTGCTTCTCCAAACACTGTTTTTTTCTTCATTAAGCATTGGTGATGACACCTTTATTCCATGTGAACACCTTCATTTCCTGCTGGTATAACAGGAAATTCTTCTCCATCAACAAAATCTACATATTCAATGGTATTATCTGTCAGGCTTATTTTGCATACTTTTACATTGTTATTATTATTATTATCAGTCATGAACCACTAATACAAACATACCCTCTTGGCAGCTTTGCCTAAGGAAATTGAATCAGGTTTCATCCTGATAACATCACCAAGAGAGAGTTTATCCCACTCGGCATAATCAGGCAGGTGTTTGCAACCAATCCTTAACGAATGAACCAAAACAAACAGAGATAAGCACTTACTTTTATTTCACTTTCAATAATTAGTAAAGAGAGAAATAAATCTCAAGCTCAAAGTTAATTGAGTAAAACTGTTAAAAATAGTTTTTCATTTTGTCATTTTTTTTTTAACAGAGAATGAATGTCAAAGATCACAATAGCCTTATTGCCAATAACATCATCAATATATAGCCTGTGAAGGGACAGTAAAATACACATACATGCTCTCCCAAAATATAACGCCAATAGAAGAATGAATGTAGCTTTGTTGAGGAACAGTGAGTATACATATATATTTGGTAGATCACCGGTCTGACACAAAAATCTTATTAGCTTTGCAGTCAGCATCATCATTTGTTGGAGTTGTGGTGTTCAAGCTGCCAAAGTAGTAGCAAATGAAAATGAAAGCTGCACAAAATGGCAGCAAAATGAAGAAGGGAGAGCTGCACCAACAGCACGGTAGCAGCAAAGTGCAGCAACCTAAGCTGCAAATGTTGAGAAAATGAGGTTGAAATGAAATGTAAACGAAAAGCAAATGCAAATGCAAATGCAAATGAAATGAAAGGCTACAAGGAGGCTGCAAAGCTGCCAAAAGACGCAAGCTGCAGCAAAAGTGGCTATTACATATTCAAGTTTCAAATGTAATTTTATTGTTTTTTAATGTAAAATAATTGTTTGAATTTGAATTGTTTTAAAGATTGTATTCTCCTATATATAAGAGAGTTGGTTAATGAGAAAATTTGAGTTGAAGTCATATACTTCTCTCCATTTTTAGTTTATGCTCTGCTCTTCATCATCTTCCTTCCGATCTGCTCTCTCCATTTCTTTGTGAAAAAAACCAACATGGTATCAGAGCCTTTCTTGATCTTTGAGGGCTTGTGTGAGAGAGATTTGAGAAAAATATACCACCATAAACTCAGGCCAAACCCAAATAGTATCCAACAAGTGTTTCTTTCAAAATACCCATTTTTCTGACCCAACACAGCGAACTCCTCTGATAAAAAATGCAGCAAAGATGTTGCGATGATGAAGGTTAACTTTAGGTCCTTCAATCTTTAAAAGTGGTTGACAAAAGGATGCAACCAATTTGTTAAGGTAGAAGAGAATATGTGAAGTTGTGAAGTTGTGAAGTTGAAGGTTAACTTGATGTCCTTCAATCTTCTTGAGGCAAAAGATCTACAAGAAGCAAGAGCAAAAGGTGCTGGTTTAATGATGTTTTATGTTGCTGGTATGGGTGGTGTTTTATGCTACAACATTAGTCCAAAAAAGCAAGGATGGCTTGTCAAGGTGCAGAGTGGGACCAAGAGAGTACTCAACATTGCATCAAGTCATTTTCATGATCGAGTGGCCAAATCTTTAGCCCAAGGAAGCTGTAGAAGATGTAGAAGATGATGAAGTAGCACTTTGAGGTACCAAAATCCTTGTTTTATTTACTCAGAAAATGCAACTTAGTTCCAAAACCTCCAAAATTTGTTTGAGGCAGCAAATCCAAAGAAGGAAAGCTATAATGAAGGAGGAGCTAAGGTTATTTGAGAAGGATGGTACATGGCTGTGATGAAAAGAAAAAAAAAATGGTGAAAACCAAACACAAGATGGACAACAAAGGGCTAATCCCAGGTGCTTAGGTATAAATCTATTTCTGTTGTTTGATTTTTACAGCTTTAACACCAAGGAGGAGTGTTGGAGTTGTGGTGTTCAAGTTGCCAAAGTAGCAGCAAATGAAAATGGAAGCTGCACAAAATGGCAACAAAATGAAGAAGGGAGAGCTGCACCAACAGCACAATAACAGCAAGCTAAGCTGCAAATGTTGAGAAATTGCGACTGAAATGAAATGTAAAGGAAATGCAAATGCAAATGAAATGAAAGGCTGCAAAGCGGCTGCAGAGCTGCCAAAGGATGCAAGTTGCAGCAAAAGTGGCTGTTACATATTCAAATTTCAAATGTAATTTTATTGTTTTTTAATGTATAATAGTTGTTTGAATTTGAATTGTTTTAAAGATTGTATTCTCCCATATATAAGAGAGTTGGTTAATGAGAAAATTTGAGTTAAAGTCATATACTTCTCTTCATTTTTAGTTTATGCTTTGCTCTTCATCATCTTCCTACCGATTCTCTCCATTTCTTTGTGAAAGAAAGAAAAAAAAAAAACAACATCATCTTCCTTTCCATCTTTGTCTTCGTCTACCTCGTTACTCATGACCAAACACCCTAATGGGAGATGTAATGGGAGGCAAAGCACAATCTGCTTTTGTTGGTGGGAGATGTAAACTTGTTTTTGGAATCTTGGATTAGGAGGATTGTTCTGTAAACAAGAAATATAGACCTTATTAAGGATGTAAAGTACTCCCACATCCTAATGAAACTCCATATATACCAAAAGGAATAGAAATTGCAAAAGGAAACTATAACAAAAAACTTATTACAAGGCAACAGACACATATAACATGTAGAATTAAACAAACAAAATCATAAGGATTGAAGAAACCTGGATGAAGTATTGGCTCTATATGAACCAGCTCATTCACAATACTCCTGATAGACTAGTGATTTTATATTGAAGGCAGCAATGAAACCGAGGCTTATCAAAACGGCAAAGCAGAAAGAAAAGGCAAGAAAAGCAAGGGGAACCTGAAAATGTGCTGCCTTTTTATACATTGCAGCGGTCATCAAATTTGTATTTTCCTTTATAGGAATGTTAATAGATAATTATGATCTGAAAACAGATTATATCCACCTTAATCACCAAAG